TCATGGATTCGTCTGAGCATTCCCATGCCACTAAACATCAGAGTAAACAAACGCTGAGTCCAGGATGGACATGGAAGTTTGTACAGTACATAATGTCCAGTTGCCACAAATATTCCTTGTGTGTGGTTCTTATGAGAATTGATGGGAATGTTTCTGCAGGCGCATAGATGAGTAACAAAGGAGTCACAGTACAGTATTTGTGGCTGGTGCAGGGAGAGTTACATGGAAGTTTGTACAGTACAGTGGTCCAGTTTAGACTATACTAGCCATCTATACAATGCTCTCCTGCAAAGTCAGACCAGACCTCTTAAAGATAAACTGCATGACTCAGTTCCTTGAGTAATTGAATCCTAAAAGTAGATGGTGCAGCTTTGAGATTCTGTTAGGAAGGAAAAAAACAGGGATGATGAATATAGGCTCACATTGTTAGTAAGCCAGAGAGTTTACTGGAGTGAGAGTTCGATCAGTCTTGCTGCTCTCTTCAGCACCCTGACAGCTAAGAAAAGAGCCCAAAAGTTTTTGAGAGATAGTAATGTCCGAGACCATCTGTTCATCCGGAGAGTCACAGCATCGATAACCAGCTGCTGTTTACACACTGTCTCCCCCACTGTTTCTCAGAGTACTCTGCCTTCCTCTCTCATGATGTTATCGCTCCTTTTCTCAGCATTCCCTAGTGATATTGCTGTCTATCACTGGTCTCAGTTCTGTAGTTCACCTCCCCTACACTTGGGACATGAGACAGTATGTAAACACATGTCGTGTTTGCTTATCCACGCTACACATTTTAACAAAGTCCCGTACACATGTAGCTAAATTGAAGCAACCCTAGTGCTTATGTAGTTACAGTATGTAGTGTTCACTGTAACATTTGTAGGTCACTGTTCATTTGTATCGTCCCCTGCGTCCCTCTTGGTTCAAGTACTCTAATGTCCATTGGCTGGGACCTGCCACATGCTCTTCTGCAAGAGATTGAGCCAATAAGACTCACTAATGGAGAGGTCTTCCCCATTGAGGACAGTCAGCCTCAGTGTGGGTTCAAAGCTGGGGCCATCCACTACACGAGTATCTTCCTCTGTCAGTGTGTGGGTTGCAGGCTTTGGAGTCTCGTGTTGTTCACAAACACTAATAGAGATGTGGACATCACTTATTACAACCTTCTTACCCACTGACACTTCTTAGACAATCCTAATTCTGTTTATTTCCTGCACAATTGTACATGCTCAGTGCAAATATTCTGATAAGATCATTGCCTAAAACAACTAAGTATCCCTAAGAGCTAATGCATGACATCCTCTGACGTAAAATGACTCTGCTTTTTCAGCCAGTATAAAAGGGATATCCTACTCCCCATACACACGTCTGAGAGCTTCTGTCATATCGAGTTTTGGCAGAAGATGGAGTTACCAAAGTGTGCCTTGATTCTAGCAACAATAGTAGTTGCTTTTTCTATTTCCTTTGCCCAAAATGAAGGTGAGAGAAACAAGTTTCTGAGAATTCAATGTACACTAAGAACTGATGCCTGTGTGTGATCCCATCACAGGAGGTAGTCAAGTAAGTGTCCACCAAGTGGAGGTACTGAGAGGTAGGGATGGGAGAGATGGAGTGAGAGGTCCAGCTGGACCATCTGGTCCACCTGGACCTACAGGAGTGGGCGGAGATAAGGGAGAGAAGGGAAGCGAGGGACCAGCAGGGAGAGAGAGGGATAACGGGACCTCGGGGAATTGTGGGTCTCAAGGGGATGACTGGAAGCAAGGGAGACGGTGGAGACCCTGGTCAGCCTGGACCTCAGGGACCTCAGGGAGGAACTGGTGACAAAGGTGATCGCGGGGACACTGGACTCCCTGGACCTCAGGGACCACTAGGAGCCCCAGGTCCTCTTGCCATGGGAGGAGCTGTCTATGTTCGCTGGGGGAGGACTGTTTGTCCCAGTGGCCAGGGAACTGAGCTGGTGTACTCTGGGAGAGCTGGAGGGAGTCGATATGATCACCAAGGAGGGGGTGCCAACCATCTCTGTATGCCAGATGATCCTGAGCACTTGCAGTTTACTAGTGGAGTACAAGGATACAGCTACATGTATGGAGTGGAGTATCTACCAAGCTCTCAACCGTTACAAACTGTTCAAAGCCACAACGTTCCATGTGCTGTGTGCCATGTCACAACACGGGCTACACTGTTGATGATTCCTGCTAAAGTCAACTGCCCCACAAACTGGACCACAGAGTACACTGGATACTTGATGACTGAATACTATGGTTATCATCGTTCCACATATTAATGTGTGGACAAAGATCCCGAATCCGTTGCTGGACTTAATGGTTCTACTACTATAGAGCTCTCCTCTACCATGTGGAACCCCATTGTACTGGGTTGTCCTGTCCACCATATGATAGTGAGAAGGAGCTCACCTGTGTGGTGTGCTCTCATTGAAAACTTCCATCAATAATATACATACTGTGTACTTCGTTTGACGATGATTATCTCATGCTGATAAACCCTCAAAATTATCACAGGGAGAGATAGTGTAGATAGCAGAGCAAAATACTGTACTCCTTTGTTCACATTACGTATGTAAGTTCTTCTTACTTGTGGAGCTGAGGAAGAATGGGTTGTGGACATGACATGAAATATCTTGTGGAAGAGAAACAAACATGACAGCAAGTAGCTAGCTCTCAGTAGGGCAGTTGGTGGACAATCAGCATGCTACATTAATATTCCCAAGGTGGGATTAGCCTACACATTCGCTAAGCTGACTACTCACAAACATTGAAGTTCTCACAAAGTAGGCATGTGTTGTTAAAGTCATCATGACATCGATAGTCATGAGTTCACACAGAGCCATGGAACACTACCCTACTGCATGGTGTACTTGATGTAATGTAATAATCCTGCAACCTATGCACAATAAACATAGGTGATGAGTACCAATCACCACCCATCTAACATGGTTACATTCTTAGAAAAGTGGTATAATTGCAGAACCCATTTACTATAGGAATGCTATCATGGATTCTCAAAGCAGGTCTGAGCATTCCCAATGCTCACTAAACCATCAGAGTAACAAAAGGCTGAGTCAAGGGAATGGACATGAAAGTTTGTACAGTACATAATGGTCCAGTTGCCACAAATATTCCTTTGTGTAGGATGGTTCTTATGAGAATTGGATGGGAAATGTTTCTGCAGAGCTATAGATGAGTAACAAAAGGAGAGTCACAGTACAGTATGTTGGTGGCTGAGTGCAGGGAGAGTTGCATGGAAGTTTGTTCAGTTACATGTGGTCCAGTTTAGACTATACTTAGCCATCTCTACAATGTTCTCTTGAAAAGTCAGACCAGACCTCTTAAAGATAATCTGCATGACTCAGTTCCTTGCTAAAAATGGATGGTGCAGCTTTGAGATTCTGTTAGGTAGGGGAAAAACAGGGAAGATGAATATAGGCTCACATATAGGCTCACATTGTTAGTAAGCCAGAGAGTTTACTGGAGTGAGAGTTTGATCAGTCTTGCTGCTCTCTTCAGCACCCTGACAGCTAAGAAAAGAGCACAAAAGTTTTTGTAAGAGATCCTCCTAGTAGCAATGTCCGAGACCATCTGAACCTCGCAAGAGTCGCAGCATCGATAACCAGCTGCTGTTTACACACTGTCTCCCCCACTGTTTCTCTACCAGTGGTTCTCAGAGTACTCTGCCTCCCTCTCTCATGATGTTATCGCTCCTTTTCCCAGCATTCCGTAGTGACATTGCTGCCTATCACTGGTCTCAGCTCCTGTAGTTTGTACAGCTACTTTCACCTGAACTATTCAGCTCTGCTTTCCTGTGAGTCTATCTTGGCTTTGATGATGTTCAATCTCAATCTTCTTTGACTACGACCCCAGTTATCTTCAAGGGAAACCACTCAGTGTGTTGTGGACATTTCACATATGCACCATGGTTCAGCTCGAATACTGTGACATGAGGTGGTCTTGATGACTTTAATGTCACAAGCCATAGTAATGTTTGTGAGTATATACCATGTTTAGTTTAGGCTGAATAACTATACTGTAGCATCATAGATTTTCATAGGTGTTATCATACAGTACATCACTTTATTCACTATCATTTTTACACTTTGTATAAGAAAAAAATTTCCAGCTATGGCACAGCACTGCAGTATGGACCATAGATTGCACTAGTAAAAGTATGAAGATTGAACTATTGAGCCGATGTTCTTGAGGTAATACGTCATTATGTCTTGGGGACCTTTCTTTTCTATTTATTTGAGCTTATAAAAAGGCTCTGGGAGCCTGCAATACCTATCCTGAATGCAGCCTAGGTACCCCCACTCACAGACATACTATGCCTGCAGCCGATATCATTTTATAGTCAGATCCTCTGCTACCCTAGCCTTGTAGCCAGGCACTTTTGCAGGGTAAGAGAAAGAGCCTAGTATAAATGTGCATTATTATGCCTGTATGCGATGTACATACGATGAATACTAGCTACCACTAGCTACATCCTCACTACACTGTCTTACCGGACATACTTGTCACTCTGAAACATTTCAAAGTCACTGTGAGCCACAAGCAGCCCATAGATGGTAAACTAGATCCATCTGATTCTATTGGATGCTTATAACATAGAGTCGTGGAAATAAAATGTGGGAGTAAATATCAAAACACCTTTGGACGCCATGGGGATCTGCTTAAATAAGCATAAATTGATGTATAAAGTATTAGCGCCTAGTATTATAACCCCCATATAAATTCTTATGGACTTATGGACACTCTGGACACATTTATGTGTCGGTGGCTGGTTAAGTGTTAAATTTATAATCCCTCTTAAACTTCTACCCTACATGGTTTACAACAAACCTTATCTGGTGCAGTGAGCTTGATCCGAAGAATCTTGGTTATTTAAATCTTGAAAGAAATCCACCGAAGGTTGATGCTTTTCTGCCCCTGGGTGTCCATCCGGGTGTAACCACGAGGATGTATTGTTGTGTCTTGCAATGTCGTGCCTCCTCTGAAAATGTCTGGAACAGTTTGGACAGCCAAAGTTTGCATGATCCAGTATTCAATTTGCTGCTTCTGACTGCCACGTTGCTTCGGGCTCAAACAACGGCTTCTTGGCAGAGCTTCTTGTGCATAATGGGTACATTCAGATGGCGACTGAAGTGCAGCCTATATTACCTGAGAAAGGCCCATGTCAACTGCACTGTGGTGTGCTGTGTTACTGTGGGTAAAATATGGGAGGCAAAGAACACAATGTTATCATCATGCATGAGGGACTGTCCCAGCAGATGTCTGGAACAATAGTCAAGTCTAGTATATACTCCATACCAGAGTTAGGCTCTCAGCTAAATTAGCAGTGGTTGTGGAGACTTAGTGGATTGGAACTGTAATCATGCCATTCTTTCTCAGATCCTTAATAATTGTGGCAACACTTCTAGCAGCAGTAATCACTATCTCCTTTTCTCAAGGTAAGGAAGAATGACGGTGTTCTTTACTGACTAATTAAATGCATCTGCAGACTGAGAGTGTTAGTGATGTTTGACTATATAAATGAACAGATGCATCACCAATACCAAGTGGGCCTATAAAAGGAGAAGCAGGAGAAAAGGGACGAAGTGGAAATGCAGGACCTGGAGGATCTCGAGAAAAAAGTTGCCCCCCTCACCCAGTACGTCAACCTGGATCTCCAGGGATTGCAGGACCTGGAGGATCTCCAAGACAAAGTTGCTCCCCTGGACCAGTAGATCCACCTGGACCAGTAGGTCCACCTGGACCAGTAGGTCCAACTGGACCTCAAGGGATTGCAGGATCTGCAGGATCTCCAGGAGAGAGTGGCCGACCTGGCCGAGTAGGTCCAACTGGACCTATGGGACCTGGAGGAACTCCAGGAGAAAGTGCCCCCCCTGGCCCAGTAGGTCCAACTGGACCTCGAGGGATTGCAGGACCTGGAGGATCTCGAGGAAAAAGTGGCCCCCCTGGCCGAGTAGGTCCAACTGGACCTCCAGGACCTGGAGGATCTCCAGGAGAAAGTGCCCCCCCTGGCCCAGTAGGTCCAAGTGGATCTCCAGGGATGGAAGGGGCACAGGGCCGGAGAGGTGTGAAGGGAACTACGGGAGAGAACGGTGAGAAGGGAGATATAGGATTACTAGGCCCAACTGGAAATACTGGAGCTCAAGGAGATCCAGGAGATGTAGGGTTCCCTGGACAACCAGGGAATATTGGAGCTCAGGGACTGAAAGGAGAACTCGGAGAGAGAGGGTTTCAAGGACCAGGAGGGTTTCAAGGACCAACAGGACCAACAGGAGAGAGAGGGGTTCAAGGACCAACAGGAGAGAGAGGGTTTCAAGGACCAACAGGACTAACAGGAAAACCAGGAGAGAGAGGGTACCCTGGACCACAAGGAGACCCTGGAGGTGAAGGAGTGAAAGGACAAAAAGGGGAGGCAGGAGCAGCAAAGGGGGACAGAGGAAGCCAGGGAGTACGTGGGGAGAAAGGAGATGAAGGTACACAGGGTCTGTCAGGATACCGAGGACCACAGGGACAAAAGGGAGAGTTTGGACAGCCTGGAGACAAGGGAGAAAGAGGACACCTAGGATTACGAGGAGACAAGGGAGAGGTTGGATCCCAAGGACCGCGGGGCTCTGCTGGTCGAGACGGCTCACCTGGATCTCCAGGAGAACCAGGATTTAAAGGACCATCAGGAGAACATGGAGATCCAGGCCAACAAGGTCCACGTGGTTTGTCTGGGAGAAACGGTTTACCTGGATACCCTGGGGCAGTTGGACGGCCGGGAACACCTGGTAAACCAGGAATACCAGGAGAGAGTGGAGAGAAGGGAGATCATGGAACTTGTGAATGTGAAGGAGCACCAGCCCCTGGATCACAAGGAGCACCAGTTCTCTCAGGCACAGGAGGAGCTGTCTATGTTCGCTTGGGGGAGGACTGTTTGTCCCAGTGACCAGGGAACCCAACTAGTGTATTCTGGGAGAGCTGGAGGGACAGATGGAGGGGCTGACCACCTCTGCATGCCAAACGCTCCCGAGTACCTTCAGTTCACCAGTGGGAACCAGGGAGTTCCCCTACATGGAGTGGAGTATCGAGCCGGAGACAATAGCTCACTGTCCAGTGTTGAAAACCACAACGTTCCGTGTGCTCTGTGCTACACCACCACACGAGTCACAGTGGTCATGATCCCAGCCAATGTCAACTGCCCAACTAACTGGACTATGGAGTACAATGGCTACCTCATGACCGCACACTCCAACAACCATCGCTCGACGTACCAGTGTGTGGACAGGGACCCTGAGACTGTTCCAGGCACCAGCAGTGAGCAGAGTTCTGATGATGCTCTCTTCTACCACGTGGAGGCAGTCTGCACTGGAGACTACTGCCCTCTGTATCGCGACGATGGAAAGGAGCTCACCTGTGTAGTGTGCTCTCGCTGAACTTGCTGATTGCTCCAAGACAGTTATACATGTAGATGCACCACCCCAAGACTGTTATGCATGTAGAAGCAAGTACTTCATGTTGTACTAGTGAGTATAGTGGCACAGCCACTTTGAGTGATGTTAAATATGCAATGCACATTCGCCATGCGCGCATGCACAACAGTTCACAGACAGAGGATGTGGTGGCTCCGTAACTCATACAATCATACGGAATGAGTTTATAAAAAGTAATAGTGAGTGAAACAAGCTCTACATCTCCTCGTCTGAATTGTGTGGCACTACATGTATCATAGTGGTTCTAAATACGCTTGCGAAAATGGAACTCCTGATATTTTCACTAGCGAAAAAATACATTGTGTTCATGCTAAGCAACCGAGATAGCTCTACTAGAGGAATGCAAGGCATTTTTGGTGAGTGAAGCGAGCAGTTTGAATTTTCACGTGTTTCATGTGTATTGCATACAACATCATAGTTTGTGTGGCAGTGCCGGTACATATACAGAAAATACACATAATATAGCTAGCAGAAACATTTCGCTTTCAGACGACTAGGAGGGCTCGTTTCGCTTGCAGCTACAGCTTATTCTAGTCTTCCAATGGGATTGACAGAACATAGTACAGTTGTTTAAGCATTGGTATAACATTAACATTTAAAAACAAAATGTCATGTATTGTGTTCACCACCATTACTTGCTGTAAGTGTCAACCACAGTCCTATATACAAGGGAGGAAAAGTCAAAAGTGGAAGAACACATGCAGTAAGTAATGTATTGCACCTGATGAGGAGTTGTTTCTGAAAGTTGGATGCAGAGAAGTTGGCTACAGAAGTGAAGGTCAGGTTGTAGATCATCACAGATGACGGCATCATCAGGAATCCATTGTCACTAAAATGCAGAATGGATGAAGAATACCAGTACACAACCACAGAAGAAAGTGTCTGCTTATATTACTTGAAGTTTCCAGTGAGAGATGTTTGAAGATAGACAAACGGAGCCGCAGCCGATGAAGAAATAGTGAACTGCAGCAAAGGATATAAGTGCATATCTGCAAGATTCAGACAGACTCACAGCAACAGAATTCGAAGACGTTTGTTTGAAGTTAGTTGCCTGTATGTTGGGTTGCTGCAGCTTCACTTGAGTGAAATTGGAAGGGAAGAACCAGTTGGTAGCCAACTGAGCTCCACCTAATGAAAACCACATGTTAGGAATTATAACATCCAAGCATTATGAAGACACTATGAGATGAAACTTTCAGTTCATCAGCAATAAGACCACAGTTTGAGTATGGAATGGTAACATCATCTATCTTGCTGAACCTGTCCCTACCTTGCTAAAATTTCCGGTCCCCCCTAAATAAGGGTGTCAACCATTCGCATTTTTTACAGGCACAAGAGTGGGCAAAGAGACAAACCAACTATACTTAATACTTTTACTAAAGTTGTATAATGGAATGATAATTTCTTTTATCTCGCTACACCTATCCCTATCTCGCCCAAATTTCGCTAGCTATCCTCCCTAAATAAGGGTGTCAACAATTTCGCATTTTAAAAATATAATTATAGGCACCAGAGTGGGCGAAGAGACAAACCAACTTCTTCGACTACAGTTGTAATATGGAATGACAACATCTTCTATCTTGCTGCACCTATCTCTCTCCCGCCCATATTTCGCTGTCCTCCCCTTAATGGAACTTACTCTTGGCATCAGAGAGAACCATGTAGAGGAAGCTGTCAGTTGATGAGGTACCATTGAAGACAGTGGCCGGTCTCTCATTGAACACTCTCACTCCAGTGAACCCTCTACTGGTGTTGGCCATCTTGAAATCTTTCACCACATTCCCCTACAATTGGGAACACAGAGAGTCACATAGTTTGCATCTGTGAATGAAGTACGTCCTCCCACTTTGAACACTGACATAATGTTTCATGGTTTGGTCTCAGCACATGCAAATCTCAACACGCACAACCTGCAAAAGTGGCACACACGCAACCAAGAGTGACCACTGGAATTAAGATCTATCTACACACACACTTAGGCTTCACAATACGTCACTTTGCCCTGTCGTGCCGTGCTGCGTCGCGCGAAGGTAGAAATGGATTCTATCCTTGCGACGCGGCAAAGCAGCAACGCGCGACGTGGCAATGCGACATATTGTGAACCTAGCCTTTTACTCATACTAATGAAGTCACCTTATCCCAAGAGACCACAAGAATGTTGAGTACATAGTCGACGGAAGTGGAAGGGGCGTCATCATTGACCACATAGACTCCAATGTATCCTTCATACTGGTAGGCAGACACCAGGAGACTCTGATAGACTGTCTTCATGTAGTGGTGCAGGATCTTCCAGCTGAGGTCATACTGAACTGAGGCCCAGCTCTGGGCCTGCCATATGTCATTCTGTGAATAGAATCATCACAGAGCTTTTAGAAAACTGCCTAGTTCACTCTTGCATTTCAGTAAAGAATTGAGCTACACACTCTTACAGGCAGAAGAATCCTTACATACAAAACAAAAACCAGCGATTGGACTAGTCTAAACCACATTGCTACAACACAGCTTGCCTACTTCATAATACGAAGCTTCAGACCAGGACTTCCCCACTTTAACTTCCACACATGATGGGCAACAACCTTGCCATTGGGTTGGGTAGCTCTCTCTCTCACCATACTTCCATCATATTCTCTACCTGTCTCTGACACACTGTAACATACTGTAGCACACACCAGTTGCCAGTAGAGAGTGCCTCTAGTGAGGGCGTCCTCCTCACTGAGGAGTCTGCGGTAGTGCTCTGCCTCAGCCTTTATGCACAGTCCCTGAACCACCTGAGACAGGTAGATGAAGTCCATGAACTGTACCGTCTTGTTTGTGCTGGGAGATTGTGTGCATGGGGAGAGAAGAGGGGAGAGAGAGGAGAGATTGACAAGTTTTGTAGCTTGTAGCTATGCATATTATACTAGACAGTTTTACTATGATACAAAATAATCTAGGTGCACCTGTGGACTATAGCTGAAGGTGTGGTGCAAATAAGGTGTGAATGTGGAAGTAGGGTGGCCTAAACCTTTCGTGCTTTTAGCAGGAAAGTGGAATGAAGGACAGTCCTACCAACCATCCTGAATTTCTTGAATATAGCTGGGGAGTGCAGTGTCAAGATTCTTAGGAGTGGTTGTGGAAAATAGACCCAGGTGACCTAAACTTGTAGCAAGTGAGAGGGAAGACAGGTTAGACTGACCTGTAGTGAGATTGTGTGCATTAGACTGACTTGTTGGGCATGTGGAAGAAGAGGCTCATGTGATATGCCATCTGCTGGTTCCCATTGGGATGGTGCTGCCTGTGCTTCATGAACACAGAGTCGTTGTCCCAGTCCTTCACATAGAGAAAGTGAGGAAGAAGGATGCACACACATACTCTTCCCTGGTCTCCTGAAATTGACTATTATCCGTCCATCATGGCCATTATACATACATGTATGTATAATGAATGGGCAGTTGTCACTCACTTACCAGGGTTTAGTCTGCCTATGATCACTGACATACTAGATGGCACTCCCCACTACTTAGAGCGCTGAGTGTGAGAGTGCAAGACTGACATTTGGAGTGGAGATCTTGGAGATGGAGGTGAAGGACGGGTAGCTCTGGAAACCAAACTCACTGGCAAACCGAGGTCGCGGGAAGAAGCTCACGTCAGTACAGTAGTGCTGGTAGTCATACCTGTAGGGCATTCAGTTACAGAAAATACACTTCTTTCTGTAATACTGACTCTATATTTTTGAGTCTCTCTATGGTGTGGCAGTGGGTGGGGGGGGGGGTTGCAAGCTGACTACTACCATCCTTTGTTTTACCAAAAACATGTTTGGAATCTACAAAATTTTGCAAAATGATGAGGTTGTTAACCTGTGGATGTCTCCATAGTTGTGTTGCTGGAGTCCCCCACCTCTGAATGTACAGCTGTCTCACCGGGTCATCTATCACTGCTCCGTTGGAGGACCTGGATGGCCAATAGGGCCTGGTACTGTCCTAGTTACATACAAAAAATATTCGGTAAAAGGAAAGATTTCGGCGATAATTTTTTAACTCTTTGCATGCCGAGTTACCTCCTTCCAGAGAGTGGCTCTCACTGTCTGGTCATAGAGAATGGAGTAGTCCACCAGATTGGCATCACTCTGCTCCCCAGCATCCTATAGCAATAGTCAGTCACTCCTTCAGTCTTTCCTCATTGTATACATACACAACTGAACACATGAAGCTTCTGTGATTATCATACTCATTGGCAGTGATGCTGCACTGACTGAGAATGTCCACTGGCTGAGAATTGGTCATGGTTGTTGGACAAAAAGCTGGCTAATAGTAACAGTGAGTCCAAATGTGGTGTATAAATATTCTTAACCTCGAGAGTTAGGTATAGCTACCCTGACATGCACATACACATTCGTAATGTACGAGTGAGTGATGACTAGGCGAAACATGTGAGGCTGTGCAGAATAGTAAAGGTATAATGACAACACTTAGTTCTCCACGGATGTATATACCTGGTTCTCATTGTTGCCACTCCAGAGGACGATGCTGGGATGGTTCCCCAGTCGTCTCACTGTGTGCACCACCTCCTGGTGTACATTCTCCAGGAACTCCTGCACTCAGAACACACATTATTCGAGGGGCTAGGGGCTACAGACAGCTAGATATCATTGGGCATGCATGAATCATTATTGGAGGTATCCTCAGAATAGTGACTGTGATACAAGAAGCGGGATTTGTTTCACGCTATATCCTTGTTTCAATACTTTGTCCCCAGAAGCATCAATACTTTTTTGACCAAAACCATGATTATTTACAGTTGTATCATACGAGAACTAGAAGCAGGATTTACTGCATATGTACAACCTTGTCTCTAGGGTACAGAGCATCGGCAAACATGAACTCCTGCCACACCATTAGTCCCAGTTCATCACACAGCTCATAGAACCACGACGTCTGGTACAGCCCTCCTCCCCTATGCAATACATCGTAACTAATACTCAGCTGGCCTGTAGGGTGTATATACTAACTCCAGCTCAACCAGAAGTATAAGAATAGTTTGTTCATGCTTACATACTTTGAGTCTTATATAGTGGTAAGCAGTTTTGTGAAAGACAGTGGTAGCTAAGAGCAATTCTAGTGCGACTTTTGGTGCTACTGGTGTTATTACTTCTACATGGAACTGAAAGGCCAATTTTGTGATCATCTTCCTTAGAATGCACGGAGAAGCAAAAACTTCTGGCTAATCATTTCAAGTGTGACTGCCAACCTACTCACCAAACTCGGACCATGTTCTGATTCCCATCCACTGCACTCTGAAGAATACTGCGACCGAAGCTCGGAGTTGCTCTGTTGACAAACGCATCCATCGGGATAAAGTTGGAGCCCTTGGCGTATATTGGGACGTCTCCATAGAGGACAGTACTCATCATGAAATAGAAGGTGAGACCATCGGCACCACTTGGACCAACTGGATCCTATGCAACACACACAGATAATATTAGTAGTTAAGTGATTTCTCGTACAGAGTATTTGGGGTTGCTTTTGTATTCTGTTGTGCAAAAAACTTAGGACTTTGAGCCCTGCCTGCAGAGCCGCCCTGGTAGCTCAGTATAAGAAGAGCGCTCTGCAGAGTTCAAGTTTCAGCTCTTTTTTTTCTTGGGAGTATCCTGGGTGTCATCACAGCTTTTGATATGCACTTGCCTTGCATTGACACCCTTTTAAATCTTTTCTTACGTAAAGAAGCTGGTACTTTTCTTCAACATGGGTGACCAACGCTAGAGCATGGGTATACCTGAACTATCTTAATGTTGCGAAATCCGATCTTTTTACTGCTTGAAAATGTTGAAATCTGTTTCTCCTGTAGAACAAATTAGCATACACACAATGAAGACTACACACATATATAGAAAAAAGGTATTTGAGATACAGTGGGTCTTGCTTAAAATCTTAAACGGAAATCACAAATTCCACTATTGTTTTTTCATCCACTGGGGTGTATATACTCCGAGTCATATTCTATGTCGGTGTATTATAACAATGCAACATTGGCAGTAAAAAACTTACCAAGCAAGGCAGCTTTCCCCCTTATCCTACAGCCTACTCATGCATCCCATTGTATATGAATGCACTGACGTACGCCATCGAGGATATTGACGGTGATGTTGCAGGCGATGAGGTTAGGAGTCCCGTCCCCGACTCCAGCAGGCCACCAGAGGTGGGGCTCTATATTGTCCGGTACGATGGGAGCACTGTAGAGAGTGGAGCACATATCTCCTGCCTCGTCTGCCAAGAAATCCTGGTATTGAGTGAGAGAGGTAGGGAGACAAGAGTTTTGTCTAGTTTTGTGAATAAAGTTCACATACAGACTGGAGATTCTTGGGTGATACAATATAAGCAGGGTTGGGTGAAAGAGTGTTAGTATATCAAGGAAGATCAAGTGGTTGGAGAACTGATAGAGAAAGGTAGAGAAGAGGTGAGTGAGAGGCAAAACTTACTCCCTCGATAGGCTTGACATACGGGCACTCCATCTTCACATCCACAGTCAGAGCTGAAACCAAAGTATAATATACTCAGCTATATACATGTATGTATGCACTAGAAATATACTTGGGTTTGAGTTGTGAGCAAGGTATACGCAGGTGGTAATACTGGCATAGTAGGACTTGTCCGTGTCGTTGAAATAAGTCTTGGGAATGATGTAATCCACATAGGCATCCTGAAATGATATGATGCTGGGAGATGGAAGGAACATAAACAAGGTTATAGTAGGTTGTCTGTAAAACCAGTGCTGTACGTAGGAACCAGAAATGCTGCAGAGGCTGGTGCCTCTGTAAATTTTCCCAGGTCCACGTGCAATAAATGGTAGGAGAATGGCACACAGCATGCTATTTCTCACATGTGCAGAGACGCTAACCCCCCCTGGTCCTAATATCTTCCTGCACTACTTAATCCATAAATTAGCATGCATAATATCACCCAGACGGAGTGCTCACTCAATGCTTTTCCATATTCCAGTGGGCACAAAGGCAGGCCCCCAGTCCCAGCCAAAGTCAGACTGAGGCTTCCGGACAAAGTTTCTGTTTGAGTCGTTGAAATAGATGCCTCCTCCCTGGACAGGGTATGGGTAGGCTCCTGCCATCCTCACAGAGTAGTTAGCAGCACTCTAGGAGGGAGGGAGGTGAGGGATGGGAGAGAATAGCATGTAGAACTGGATATTGATCATACTAATGGTTTTTGCCTCGTATAAACTTGGTGGCCTTATTTGGCTATAATAATATCTGTCACACCTCCAACCCTTGCTTTTGGTCTATGAGACTACATGCATCTAAGAGTTTCTAAGGGAGCAAGGGAACCAACATGCCTCTACCTTTACCCCCACTGTAATCATTACCTCAAAAGCAATGTCAATGTGGTTGCTTCCTGCCACAGCATTCTGGAAAAGATCACGTGCAGTAATTATTACATCCTCAATGGAGACAGGGAACTAACAGGAATGTCAAACATCCACCGTCGGTGGAAGTTGTTGGCCTGTCCAATGAGCAGTCCATTCACACTAGGCGAGGCAGAAGGGCAGTAACCATGTGGTGATATGTAGTACCTTATAGCCTTGTGACTGCAATTATGGAAGTGTTTTAGGGGCCCAAGGCTGCTACCATTCAGTGTATGCGAGGTCTTACGTACGCATGCAAGACTGGAATAACTGTTACTTGTATATACGTATATAAATGCTGTATTACAAATTCCAGATGTTAGTATGAATATCTTAAAGTCACATGTCAGAGTTTGCGTTTGGATGCTAGAAGACATTTTCTAGTACAGTGGTTTGCATGCGCAGTAAGCTAAGAGTTCACTTGGCATGATCTCCAGCAGTGAACTTGTTAAAATGCAGGCGTAATAATTATGTGTGTGCAAGATGCTACAGGTGTTCTCTTACGTGACATGGCAACAGTGTCCAGACCTCCAATCTCAGGTAGAGAGTGCGGCCAGTTACGTCATCCGATGTAAGGTCAAAGGTCAGCGAATACTGCCAGTTGTCATAGGGGACCCATCTCTCCCCCAATCATTCCAGCCGTCTAGTGAGACCACCAGTATATAGACTAATGTAGTTCTTTAGCAAGAGTGAAACTTACAATATGGTCTTTTATAACCCCTCT